CGGCGGGTAAGGAGACAGCCATAAAAAGCTGGCACAGGCCGGGCCATAGCCAGAAGGGCCGGGCGAAGCTAGAACTTCGCAAATCGGAGTGAGTTGAGTTGACTAAGCTCAGCCGTGTCAGCACCAGCTGACACACGTTAGCGAGTCGGCATTAGTCGACACAGGTTGAGCTTCCCTCAAGGGCATAGCCCGGGCGAGGCTCAGCTTCGCAAATTGGACTTATCCTTATCAGGCTTTTCGTCACAGGGATCGTCGGGGTCTTCCAGGTCGTTGTTGGCGGGAATCGTGATCGTCTCCGCCGCTCCTTATCGGGCGGCGGAGGGTTCTGTTTTGCGGCCTCGACTGGAAACTGACTGGTGTCTGTCTTTTCTGTAATGGCACGGTGTCTTACAGTTCGGGCACAGTACTTTCATAGCAGTACGTCGTGTTTTCGCGGGTATAATAAACTCGCGCCATTATATCAATATGATATTTTGCAATGAAATCGAGTAGTTATCATTACACCCGATACACTGCCTAATTTGCCCGCCTTCTCCTAAGCCCAGCTTCTATTGTCACGTGATGCTTTCAACGACTTTTTATCATTTTGTCACGGCACTGGAGGCGTAAAGTTGCTGCGCGGACTAGGTTACCATTGCGCATGGCAGATCATAAAGGCAATTATCTATGCAGACATTTGTTGCATGAATTGTGGCGAGCCGAACGCCACCATGGTACTCTACTTACAGAGTTGTGAACACACACAATTTATGAGACAGGGACCGCCCACAACAGCCGCCGGGATGGTAAAGAGATTATGCGGTATGCTTACATCATGGCGGCAGGAGCGCCTGCTGGCAATCCCGCCGCCACGGCAAGCACCAAGTGTCAGAGAACAAAATGTGACAGCCATAAATAGCTGACACAGGCCGGGCTTTATATGGAAGGCCCAGGCGAAGCTAGACCTTCGCAAATCTGCGTTTGCTGGATGCTACACCTTTATTACCGTTATTATTACTTTGCGAAGAAAGTAACACAGAAGAAAGCTTTTATAGCATGATGTGTTCTACTACTTGCTAAGCTCAGATTCATTTTTTTAGGTGTTAAGCGTCATTTTCAATAATACTGGATACAATTTTAGAATTTCAGGACACCAAAACGTAATAATATCATTGATAAGAGTACAAAGTATTATATTGATTTAGAGAATAAAGTAAGGTAACCATTTGAAATAAACTGGAAAACAGAGATTATAAAGGATGTCTTCTCCACAGCTAAGGGGGTACAAGGTCTATACACTTATATAGAAGCTTGAGGGAGTATATGTGGCACCCAGACTTATCTCTCGAATTATTGAGGATTTAAACCCATTTCGGTGTAAGTGACCCTTGAAGTTAATAGTGAAAAAAATATAGAAATATTGTTTGAAGTTGAATTAATTATGATGTGAACAAATAACTATTCAACTCGTTTTTAATGGTCCTCTGACACTAGTACTTTTTACGTCATTTTTCGTCTGAATTTGAGGCTTTCCGGAAGTATCCGTAGCGACCGTTTCCGTCTGACCGACTTCCGTCTTGATCTTGAGGATTTATACAACTAGATTGTTTTTTTTATTGACAGATTAGATATGATAAGTTAATGTAAACATGAGTTAATATTCTAGGATATTTCTATATATGCATAATTATATTTTAAAGGTTGTGTGTGGAGAGGTTTTTGGGTACGTATACGATATATATGACGTACATAATTATATTTTGAAATGACAGTTGATTCCCGGGACCTCCCACGCGTAAACAAACATGCGAAGAGGTAAGTCCATTTCCATACTGAAAGTTCCAACGGATTAAAAAAAAAAGAAATGACGGGAAAAATGCAAGGGTAATAGGGTCTTTATGTACTTAATTTGTCTGTTGGTTAGAAATATTTTGTTGAGTTTCTAAAAGGAATATTTTACCTAATTTTTTACACCATTATCCTTTCTAAAGCACGGTCATTGATTGTGGTATGGATCAGAAGTATTTTGAAGACCAACATCAGGAGTCCTTTAAGAAAATGAAGAGAAAATAGAGCAAGAATTTCTCTGGAAGGAAGAGAGAGAGAGAGAGAGAGAGAGAGAGAGAGAGAGAGAGAGAGAGAGAGAGAGAGAGAGAGAGAGAGAGAGAGAGAGAAGAATGACAGCAGGTTGGAGTTAACTTAGATTTAAAGACTTTGATTGATATCATAGATGCATATGAATTATTGACACATGCAATATTTCACAATTGAATATAACAGGAAATTAAAGTTTTATAAGTGAATATATTAGGAATTTAAGGCTTTAGACCAGAATATGTCAATAATTTAACTAGGGTATTTCCTTGTTTTTGATTTCCGGTATTTCGATACAGTGATAAATAATTGAGATTACGTGCTGGAAATACATAGATTACACTTTATCACTTGGAACGTTTATGCCTCCGAGCTGTCAGTTAGATATCACTGGCAACTCAGCTCAAGCGGAAACTAGCTTAAAAAT